TTTCTAAAATTAATAATTTTTAAAAGTATGGTGGTTACAGTATAATAAAAAAAAATAATTAGTTAATTCTAATGATTTGGTAGAATCATCTCAATGAATTTTGCCAGTTATAGTTATGGTTACAACAAAAAACGTATGATCTAATTTCATAACTATAGTTAGCCACAAAGTCAAATCAAATCAAATATTTAACAAATTTGAATTTGAATTGATTTAATTCGATATTTGATTATTATTGAATTGTAACTTTATCCATTCGGGTAGTAATAGCGAAAGTTATAAACCAATTACAGCTATTTTCATAATTTCTAAAAACACTAACAAAGATATGATATAACCAATAATAAATCTTTGAAGAAAAAAGGTTTATTGATTTGTTTCATAGAAATGGTAACTTAGTTAATTTATTCATTTTCTGAATAGTTAAAAATTTACCTCCGATCCATTGATTTAGATGCTTGAGAACCCTAAGTGATTTTGGCATGATCGGTATATAAAAGATATATATTATACTTGTTCTGCAAATAACTTTCAACATATTCAACATTATTAAATACTTACCAAACATGTTTGGTGTATTTAGTTTATGCAAAAGTTTATGGATAAAGCTGTTCTTGTTAACCAATAAATATTTACAAAAAGTATAAAAAAGACTCTGAACATAAAATAAACTTTTTTAAAATAAACATATTACACAATTAAGAATTTGTCAACTGGTTCAAAATGTAACTTGAAATTCTAAAAAATCAAGAATTTATTAATTTATTTTATTAAAAAAAAATTTTTAACAACTAATATAATACATTAGTCGTGCACAACAAACATCATAAAAAATTGTTGTATAATGAACAGTTTTCCATGTAATTATCATGAGTATCTATAACCTTCTAGTCCAACCTAACCTTTAACCTAAAACCAACCTCTAAATTATATAATCTAACATGCAAACCACAATCTAATATCAACTATAGCTAGCTCCAAAGAGTCATTGCAATCCTTAATTCAAGGCATCACATCTACCAAGGGCTATAACATTCCTGAAAGAGTCACCTTCCCTTATTTATGACATCTATAATCGACGCTGGAATGTAAAAAGCCTACCTGAAAAAAATCAAACATATCAGCTAGTCTTATTTATATATATAAAATAAAAAATAAAAAAAAATATGGCCCTTATGGAAGAAAAGCCTAAAACTTTAGTCAAACATGTTCACAACCTGGAACTACAAGTACAAAATGAAACATAAATATCTAGAAGTATATCAAAATTAATTCCAAAGATAGGTTTAATCTATATTTATAAAAGAAAGAATCCAAGTTGAGGCACTCTTTTGATCTTCAGGATATGCTAACCATTCTAAGTTGAGGCACTTTCTCAATCTCTATGAATTTCTGGGTTAAACTGCTTTTTCTTGATTTCTGGAAGTATGCTAGCTGTTTCTAAGTTGAAGCGCTTTCTTGTTCAAGACTATGGTGGCTAATTCCAGGTTGAAGCACTTTCTTGATCTTCAAGACTATGGTGACTATTTTCAGATCAAAGCACTTTCTCTCTCTTCAGGAATATACTGGCTGTTCCTGGATTAAAGCACTTTCTTAATCTTTAGAATCAAGTGTTTCTTTTTTTAAATCCACAAAAATCTTGTAAGAAACTTAAATCTGAAGATTCCTAAAATAGTGTTAGTTAAACCACTTACGTAGGACCTCAAAACGCAAAACACAGGTGCATATGCCCCTAAAAACAACTCACCCAAGAAAGCTCCTAATAGCAATCAGAATGTAGCTCGAAATGTAGTGTTATCTGAAAAAAAAACTGAGTTGGTTAAGAATATCTATAAAAAAAAA